AGGACGGGAGAGAGAGAGAAACATCAATGCTGAGAGAGAACATTGATCGTCTGCCTCCTGCGCACCCCCACGCCCCACTGGGGATCGAGCCCGCAACCCGGGCATGTGCCCCAACCCGAATGGAACCGTGACCTCCTGGTTCATAGGTCAACACTCAACCACTGAGCCACGCCGCTGGGCACCTCGGCAGGTCTTGACTGCACGTCTTTGATAGGCCGGGGGCCGCGCCAAAGTCAGCTGCATCCCCAGTCCATGGCCCCATCTCCTCGCTTCTTTATGAAAGAGGGCCTGCGTCCCGTGTGATATCTGGGGACTTACTAGTACTCTCTCCTCTGACACTGCTCTGCTAACGCCATCTCTGTTATTTGGTGGCTCCAGACTCCATCTGTTTGACTGCAGCTTAATATCCCTTTGGTTGAATATGACACAGTCAGTGTTCTCAAGGCTGGCCCGGGACTGCGCCCTTCCACACATATTTATTAAATACCAGCTGTGTGCCCGGGGTTGCAGGGGACCCCGGGACGCAGTCAGTACCCTGAGAACACGGTTCCTCTCTCGCCTACGGTCTTTATTTAGTTTATTCGTTTCTCTTTCTGTCTTGCTTTCAAAAGGGCGAGACCAGCCGTGGGCAAACTATGGCCCGCGGGCCAGATCCAGCCCGTTTGAAATGAATAAAACTAAAAAAAAACAAAAAAAAAAAACCGTACCCTTTTATGTAATGATGTTTACTTTGAATTTATATTAGTTCACACAAACACTCCATCCATGCTTTCGTTCCGGCCCTCCGGTCCAGTTTAAGAACCCATTGTGGCCCCGAGTCAAAAAGTTTGCCCACCCCTGGGCGAGACCCTTGTCCGCATGACCTCTGTTCAGTGCAGAGCACCTGAAACATGAGTCACGGGCTGAGGTCCCTGCAGGTCCAAGAAAATGCAGAGTGTGAGCGTCTTCGTTCCCTGTGTCTCAGCTTCTAGCACATTCCAGGCCCATCAAAGCCATACGGTCAATATTTGTTGAATTAATAATAAACAAAAGGGACTTGCCCTACCTACTCCCACTAAGGCGGGCTTGCATGTGCAGACTCAGTGGAAAGGAATGCATTGCCTGGGGAAGGGCCACTAAATGGGTGTCCATGCCACCCCTCCAGCCCGCCCCTCCTGTCCTTCTACCTCTCAGCCAGTACCTTCTCACCTGCTCACTGAACCCCAAGAGCCTCCAATCCACGGGCGAGGCCTGTGCCTTCATCTACCCAGCCTCCGCCTCCCTGCTCTGTCCCCAGCCATGTGGGCCTCTCACTTTTCTGCTGTATCTGTGTGGCCTGCTGCCCACCTGCCTGCCTGGCTACTTCATGTCATTCAAGCCTCAGCCAGCAGCCCGCCCTAACCCCCGGCCCCTCCCCTCAGCCTCCCACTATAACTCCCCATCCAGCCACTGTCTGCTCACCGGCTTTACTCTCAGCACAACGCCCGTCACTCTCTGACCTTTTCTGCTGTATCTGTGGTCCTCCTCCCTGCTCCTCCCATCCACCCCTGTCCCCGCCTCGCCTGAGGGGAGGGCAGGACCCCACCTGCTTGTCTGGGCCCTCTCCCACCCGCTGCACTTACTTCTCATTTGTCTTTGACCCATAGCTCCTAGACCAGCTCCTGATATAACAGAGACACTCAGTAAGTATTGGTTTGGTTTAGTAATTATTTCGTGCTACACATACTGGTTATCAGACAATTAGGATCAATCCTATTCACCCTTAAATTGGACTCAGACAAAGGACTTTGTCATGTGCCATGTGTGTGCCGATCACCGTCGTCATTATTGTCACCTGACTCTGTAGCCACAGCAAGGCAGAGCGCCGGTTCACTCCATCTTTATTGTGGAAACTGACCCTGTCCAGCCCTGGTGATGGTGGAGGGAAATGTCTGGAAATGAACCACAGTGCAGAGGCCTGAGTTCAGCCCCATCCAGCAGGCATTTCTTGGGTCTTTGCTAAGAATAAGCCAATGCAAAACCCTGAGGACATGAAGGCAGTAAGAAACAGGAACCCCAGCCCTGGCTGGTTTGGCTCAGTGATAGAACGTTGGCCTGTGGACTGAAGGGTCCCGGGTTCAATTCTGGTCAAGGACACGTACCTCAGTTGCAGGTTCCTGGGCCCTGGTCGGAGTGCATGCAGGAGGCAACCAATCGATGTTTCTCTCACATCGATGTTTCTCTGTCTCTCCTCCCCTTTCTCTAAAAATCAATGGGAAAATATCCTCGGGTGAGGATTAACGAGAGAGAGAGAGAGAGAGAGAGAGAGAGAGGAGAGAAGCAGGCGCCAGCGGAGGGTGAGTGATAAAGTCCTGCACGAACGGGCACAGGGTGGCAGGGCACAGGGCGGGGCCTCCGTGTCCAGCCAGCACTCCCACCAGGCGTCTCAGCTCATCCTCGCTGCGGCGCTCAGAAGTCGGGTGTTTCCCCGCGTTACAGAGGGCAATGCTGATGCTCAGGGCGGTGAAGCGCCCTCCCGAAGGCTCACAGTTCAGGGAGGCAGCGCCTGGGTGACAACGCGGCCTGCAGACTCGAGGGCCTGGCTGTCTGCTATGACCCCGGCCGCCCGGGGCCTGGTGTCACCAGCGGGCAAGCCAGGCATTCCCTCAGCAGACTACAGTTTTTAAAGGAAGCTTCTTCGCCGCCGGCGTGGCTCAGTGGTTAAGCGTCGACCTATGAACTAGGAGGTCAGGGTTTGATTCCTGGTCAGGGACATGCCCGGCTGTGGGCTCAATCCCCAGTGGGGGCCGTGCAGTAGGCAGCCGATCCATGATTCTCTCTCATGGTTGATGTTTCTGTCCCTCTCTCTCCCTCCCGCTTCCTCTCTGAAATCAATAAAAACATATTTATAAAGAAAGGAAGCTCCTTCTTCCAGTGACTGTCTGCCGTGTTCAGCCATGGGAGCAGGCAGCACCCAGGGTCTCCCCATCTCTGATCTGGGGCACGCACAGGGGCGAGGAGACACACTCTCCCTCCCAGATGGGACGGGAACATTCCCTGCCAGCAGCGTCTAGGGTCCTGCGGTTTCTCCCCCCACCACTGGCTCAGCCAGACCCTCAACACAGCACCGGCAGGTCCCCGACCGGAGACCTCGCATTTGGAGCTGCTGTCCCCAGCCTGTGCGGTCCCAGCCCTGGGCCCAATCCTGGGCCCGACCTGGAGAGGGGAGAGACAACAGAGGCTCCGGAAGGCACAAGAGCCAGGGCAGGTTTCAGGGAGTGTGCACACTGGCAGCGCCCTCTCTCCCTCGCCTTTGCCTGGCAAGAAAGCGTAGCATGTGCCTTGTGCATGGCTCCTTCCATGTGTTCCCGTGTGGCCGTATGTGCCGAGCCCGAACAGGAAGCCATGTGACGAAGTACAACGCAGAGCCTTGCATGCATCTGTGCACGTGTGTCGATGGGGCCCTAGGACTGCACCCTGAGGTGCTGTGGGAGTTCCGTGTTCTTGTTTGTCTGCTTGTTTTATGAGGAGTAACATCCATGCAGTAAAGTATTCAAACCGGTGATACCACTCAATGAGTGTTTACCTATAGCCGCCCCATGCAGCCGGCACTTCGATTAAGACCTGTAAGTTTCCAACATTACAAACGGCTCCTCCAGGCTCCTTGCAGCCCCTCCCCACTCCCCAGGGGTGAGCACTGTCCTGATCTCTATCACTGCGCATCACTTTGCCTTTCCCACGGATCTGAGTGAAGTCAGACGGAGAATGCTCTTCTGTGTCTAGTTTCTTTCCTTCATTGTGTCTGAGATTCATGCAGGCCTCATTGCAGTTAGTATTAGTGCTTGTCCACTTGGACTTGTTCCGTTAGGTGAACAGACCATAATGATGGATCTCCTCCCCCAGGGATTGATGTGTGGGTTTTTCCAGTGTTTAGCTATTGTGAGTGAAGCTACCACAGCATTCGTGCGCTGGCTTTGCGCTAGGTATATGCTCCTGTTTCTCTTGCTATAGTTGCCAGGTCATGGCACCATAGAGTCATCATAGGGTTAGCTTTGGTAGGTTCAGCCACACTATTCTCCAAAGTATTTGTACTCCCACCAACAATGTCTGAGAATTCTAGTTGCTCCACATCCTCATCGACTTGGTATTGTCAGGATTTTTGTTTTTTTAATCCTCACCCCAGGATATTTTCCCATTGATTTTTAGGGAGAGTGGAAGAGAGAGGGAAAGACCGAAAGAAACATCGATGTAGGAGAAACACATTGATCGGTTGCCTCCTGAACGCACCTCAACCAGGCCAGGGCCGGGGAGGAGCCTGCAACTGAGGTACCTGTCCTTGACTGAAATTGATCCCGGGACCCTTTAATCCACAGGCCAGTGCCCTGTCCACTGAGCCACACCGGCCAGGGCTGTCAGGCTTTTAATTTTAGCCATTCTAGTGTCGGTGTAGAGATATTTCCTTGTGGTTTGAATTTGCATGTTGAGCGTCTTTGGGACTTACTGGCCATGGGCATGCCCCTGTGTGGAGGACTGTTAAGTGTTTGCAGAATCACACCTGTGAATAGTGTTTGCAGAATCACACCTGTGAATAGTGTTTGCAGAATCTCACCTGTGAATAGTGTTTGCAGAATCACACCTGTGAATAGTGTTTGCAGAATCTCACCTGTGAATAGTGTTTGCAGAATCTCACCTGTGAATAGTGTTTGCAGAATCACACCTGTGAAAACAGACAGTGACGGACGCAGCAGACAGTAGAGCAGAATCAGCTCAAGAAACTCGGCAGCACACACAACAAGGCAGCAACCAGCCATCTCTACTCTGGCAACTGCTCACCCCGATAAGGAAACGGGTGGCACCAGGTCGCATGGGTGAAAACTAAATTTCATTTTCTGAACCAAGTAGTTGGATGTCACAGAGACCCTCCGCTTCGCTTCCGCAGGGAGACGGGAACACGGGCGAGAACCCAGCGCCTCCCCGGGCCTGTCAGCCCCAACACGAGAGGTTTGTCCCTCAGCTCACTGCGTGTTGTCCTTCAATTTCAGGATCCCGACAGTGATCGGCCCCTGAATGGTGACCGGCCCCTGAACAGTGATCGGCCGGTGAACAGCGACCGGCCCCTCGGTAAGCTGGGGTCTGGCTTTCCTTTGTCTCCCTCGGCGTCTGAGTTTCAATCCGGTCCCGGGCAGGTGCGAACCTCTCTCGCGTGGCCCTCACTACCTCCATCCAGGGCTAAACGCTGTGGGAAACACCCTCCCCCCTCCATCCACGGTGCAGCAAACACGTACGAGACAACGGGGAGAGCGGGATTCATTCCAGAAGGGGAAGGCCTGGCGTCCGGGGGAAGGACCAGCAAACCTGAAGCCCCGAGAGCAGGGATTCCTCCTCTCCTTGCTTCGGTGACTCGTTCTCTCGCTCCTCCAACGCCAGCGCCTGCCACGTGCGGGCTCTGGGCTGGACCCCGGACCACAGCGGCCATCAGGCAGCCGAGGCCTGTCCTGGGGAGTCCACATTCTGGCCAGGCTGCCAGGGGACACGCCGGCTACACGCACTTTCACAGGTGGAACAGGAGAAAACTGGGTGAACAGACAGTGTTCCCAAGTTTAAGGGGCATTTCTTCTCCCAGTCCATTTTCTTTCCTTTTTAAATATATTTTTAATGATTTCAGAGAAGAAGGGAAAGAGGGAGGTAGAAACACCAGTGAGAGAGAATCATTGACTGGCTGCCTCCTGCACACCCCCAACTGGGGATCAAGCCGGAAACCTGGGCATGTGCCCTGACTGGGAATCAAGCTGTGACCTGGCTCATAGGTCGACGCTCAACCACTGAGCCATGCCGGCCGGGCTCCCCTTCCATTTTCTTAAACCACCGATACCCGCTCCCGATCGCCCACTGGATCAGCAAAGCGAGTGAGCAGAGCAACTCCGCGGCCAATAAGGAAATGACCAACCTCACTCACTCTGCAGCGTTTTTATTTCGGGTTGCAAGTTAATCATGGTCACAAAGGACGTCACCTCCCACCAGTTGTATGCCTTGGGGTTCCATGTATGGATAGGCCACGGTGTCCCTCAAGCCCATCGGCTGGCCAAGGTCTCCCCACCGAGTGAGCCTGAGACCGGCCGACCGAACAAGCCCACTCTGCAACAGTGCCCGCGGGGTGGGGGGCACAGGAGGGGCGCCAGTGCCCAGCCATCAGGGACCTGTCCTGAGGCAGGCAGACTGTGACAGGAGCCCCACGGGAGTAAACTGTCGGAAACAGAAGGAAGAGCCCTGGCTGGTTTGGCTCAGTGGGTAGAGCGTCAGCCTGCAGACTGAAGGGTCCCAGGTTTGATTCTGGTCAAGGGCACATGCCTGGGTTGAGGGCTCAATCCCCAGTAGGGTGCATGCAGGAGGCAGCCGATCAATGCTTCTCTCTCAGCATTGATGTTTCTATCTCTCTCTCCCACTCCCTTCCTCTCTGAAATCAATCTATATATCTAAAAGCCTAAGCGACCAGAATGACCAGAACAACCAGTCGACCAGTCACTATGATGCGCACTGACCACCAGGGGGCAGACACTCAAGGCAGGAGCTGCCCCCTGGTGGTCAGTGTGCTCCCATGGGGGGGGGTCGGGGGCTGCTCAGCCAGAAGCTGGGCTCATGGCTGGCAAGTGCAGCTGCGGCAGTGGGAGCTCTCCTGACTCCACAGCAGCACTACGGAGCAGCGGCAGCAAGTGCAGGGGGCTGGGATGAGCGCGAATGGCGCTATGCCCAGCCCCAGTTCTGGCTCCTCCCTGGCTGCCTGCCGCTTGGTGCATTGCTACATCCCTCGGGGGATGTCCAACTGCCAGTTTAGGCACGATCCCCGCAGGCCAGGCTGGGATTGGGTCTAAACCAGCAGTTGGACATTCCCTGAGGGGTCCTGGATTGTGAGAGGGCGCAGGCTGGGCTGAGGGACCCCCCCCACACACACACACACACAGTGCATGAATTTCATACATACACCAGGCCTCTAGTAATATATATATATAATATATATTTTAAAGTGTATAGTCTTAATGAAAAAAGAAAGGAAGACAGAAGGAAGCACTGGAAGTCTCTGGTGGAGGGAAGAGCAGGAGCAAAGACCCAGAGCTGCACAAGGGCCAAGCCTGTCTGGAGGACCGGGCTGGCCGCAGCCCACAGTGGGAAGCCCACTTGGTGGGAGAGGCGGGCTGGACTGCACTGGCTCCGAGAGCCTGAGCAGAGCTGGTCCAGCTACGGAAGACATGGGAGCCCCTGGAGGTTCTTGAGCAGGGGAGGGCAGATGAACGCTCTCTCGGCAGCTGGGCAGGGCAGCTGGAGGCCAGCACAGTGCAGGCAGGGAGGCCATTCACAGCTCAGTGGGTTCGTGAACTGAGACCAACAGGAGACAACACACCAAGGAAGCCCGTCCTCTGTGATGCTCCTCTCCCTGCGAGCGGCTGAGAGGCAGAGGCCTCGGCCCCGGGCACGGGAGTTCAGCAGGGGGCTCCCCATAGGCCGTTCGTCTCTGAGGAAATGAGCCAGCGAGTCCCAGAAGCAGGTGCTGGATCAATAACCATCATGAATGAGTGAACGCACTGTCGCCGTGTCCATGGCCATGGGAAGGACCGGGTCCTGGCAACAGCGGGCGGTGCCAGCCTCGTCCTCCACCAGAGCCTGTGCCTGAGTTAAAGTCTCCCTGGAGGAGACGGGTTCCCTGAGCTTCCCCTTCAGCAGAGCCCAGGGCTCCGGAGGCCGCCATTCTCTGCTTCTGAAGAGCTGAGGAAAGAGTCAGACACCATGCGATCCACCGCGGGATGAGATGAGGCCCCAAGGAAGACCGGGCACGCGCTGCTCCAGGCAGCAGATATGTGCTGAGCGCCTCCTGCAGGCCAGGCTGGGTCTAGACGCCAGGGGCCGAGCAGCCAACACAACAGACAAACCCCTCTTCATGGAGCCTTCCTGCCCGGCAGGGGCGGAGGGTACAGAAACACACCACACAGGTCCAATACAGAGCACGCAGAGGGGCTAGTGCTTTGGGGGGGGGAACGGGGAAGGAGGGTGGGAAATAATAGAAGATTGCCTTTTCAAAAAATATTTTCATTGATTTCAGAGAGGAAGGGAGAGGGAGAGAGAGATAGAAGCATCAATGATGAGAGAGAATCATGGATCGGCTGCCTCCTGCACGCCCCACACTGGGGATGGAGCCCGCAACCCGGGCAGAAGATTGCCTTTTAAATGGGGGCTTCAGGAAGGCCTCCCGAAGGGGGTGATGGACAGTTTGAAAGGACGAGGGAGCAGCCACCTGGCAGTGAAGAGCAGGAGCTGACCACTGCCTTGCAGAGCCCTGCGCAGCTCCGGCCTCGGTTCCCCCTGGAAACTTCTCGTGTGTCCTTCCCTGCTGGCTACCTGCAAGGGAGGGACACGGAGGAACCCCGTCTGCTATTCCCAAGAATTAGCTTTCAAAGCCTCGCCCGCGGGCCCTCCCCTCAGATACAGTGTGAGATGGACAGTATAGTTCTTGTTCCCCCTCCTTTAAGCACCAACAGGTTCCCACCTGGTCTCCTGGGCCCCCGATTCTTGTTCCAACTCATCTCCTCGCCGAGGAAGGATGCGTCTCCTTAAATATTCATGCGTCTCTGAGGCTCAGCTTCCCATGGCTCCTCGCTGCCTTTGGGCTAAACTCCAAACCCGGATGTGGTCTTCAAGGCTCTCCACCAACGGACTCTGCCCAGTCCCGCCTCCACCACACGCTCCCCGCTCCCTTCCCCACACCCCGGGCCCCCAGGAGCTCACATCCCTACCCCCAGCTCCGTCAGCTGGTCCAGCGCCTGCGTCTCCCGTCTCCGCCCACAGAGGCCCACTTAAGCGCTTTGCCGGTGTCCCAGGCGGGACTGACAGTGGTACCTCTGTCTGCCTCTCCCCCAAATTGTCATCTCCTTAAAGACGAACGCTGTTCCTGAGACAGAGAGGCATTCACTAGAGCGTATTTTTGTTTAGTTGTTGTTGTTTTTTCAAAATATATTTTTATTGATTTCAGAGAGGAAGGGAGAGGAAGAGAGAGAAACATCAATGATGAGAGAGAATCATTGATCGGCTGCCTCCTGCATGTGCCGGAATCGAACCGTGACCTCCTGGTTCATAGGTCGATGCTCAACCCCTGAGCCACGCCTCTATGAGGCACACACTGACAGAGGCCCAGCCCTGCTGGAGCTTCTAGTTAAATCAAAAGATAAGTCAGGAGCCCTACTGGTGTGGCTCAGTGGATAGAGCATCAGTCTGGGGACCAAAGGGTCCGGGTTAGAGTCTGATCAAGGGCAGGTACCTCAGTTGCAGGTTCCTCCCCCGCCCGGGTCCTGGTCGGGGCACGTGTAGGAGGCAACCAATCGAGTGTTTCCCTCACATCGATGTTTCCCTCTGTCTTTCCCTCTCTTCCACTCTCTCTAAAATCAGTGGGAAAATGTCCTCGGGGGAGGATTAACCAAAAGGACAAGTCAGGAAAGAGGATGAATGATAGCAAAATGCATGATGGTACCTCTCAGGGCAGAGGCAGGGCAGGCTGGAGGGGCACATCCTAGAGCGCCCCCCTTAAGGCCGGGGGGCGCCACGGTCTGAGGCTCCCCTGAGGCCTGCGAATGGAAAAGCCTGGGTACCTGCACGGAGCTGGTGCTGAGGAAGCTGAGCTGTTCTGAGGGAGTAGCCACCCCCAATGCTAACCACAGCGCCCCCCAGGCCGGGCAGGGAGACGAGAGGCCTCCCAGCGCTGACGCAGGCTCTTCCCTCCGCTTCACAGACAGGACCCGCCTGCGCAAACCCCGCACGCCCCTGGAGACCTTCAGGAAAGTGGGGGTCCCCATCCTCGCAGCACTGCTGAGCCTGGCGATCATTGTCATCGTGGCTGTGCTCAGTAAGTGGAACCCCTCACCCTCATTACGGACCCCACCTTCACCCCTCATTACGGCCCCCACTCCCACCTTCATCCCCACAGTAAGTGGCAGCCCCTCTCACCCCTCCCCTGTCCCCACCTCTGAGTGACACCCTGGCCTTCCTTCTTTCCACCCGAGTCACGGGCGGGTCCTGCTAATGTGTTGTAGCCACAGGCACCGCCCTGCTTTGAAGGGGCCTCCTGTAAGAGAGGAAGGACAGCCCGGCCCGCGTGGCTCGGTGGTTGAGCATCGACCTACCAACCAGGAGGTCATGGTTCGCTTCCTGGTCAGGGCACATCCCTGGGTTGTGGACGTGATCCACAGTGTGCGGTGTGCAGGAGGCAGCCGATCAATGCTTCTCTCTCAGCATTGATGTTTCTCTCTCTCTCCCTCTGCCTCTCTTAAATGAATATTTTTTTTAAAAGAGACAGAGAGGGAGGACATGAACTCAGCCCATCTGTTCAGGCGGCTTCTCCACCCATGATCCTCTGCAGGGAGGGCACACGTTACACACCCACACAGGCGTCCACATGGCAGGCATGCCGCCTGCCTGCCCCGCCCATCTGCAGACGAGCTGAGTGGCGAGCAGCCCTGTGGCTGGAAGAGCAGAGCATCTGCTGTGAGGGGAGATGAGAGAGGAGGCATCGGGACCCGGGGCAGAGAGCACCCTCCGCCTTTAGCACCATCTTCATCGTCTGCGTGTGGCCAGTGCCTGGACCTGTGTGGCAGGCCACTCTAGACCGAGGAGAAAAGTGAATGAGCAGGGATTCCCGAGCCCCTCCCTCTCCACACCCATATTCCACGGTGAGGCCTCGCCTTCCTCTCCCCCAGTCACCGCAGGCTCCCGCCTCAGCTGTCACACGGGAGTAAAGCGCTGCCCGGGAGACTGGGCGGGGCCCTGGCACCGCCACTGGCTCCTGTGCGGCCTGGAGTAAGTGCCTCAGCCTCGCTGAGCCGCGGTCCTCCTGTCTACGAATGTCCTGCCTCCTCAGGGGACATCGGAGAGCTGAGGAGTCAGCGTGTAAAGTGCCCGATAAACACCAGGCTGTGCACACGCGGGGCCACCGAACAGCGTGCAGGGGAAGAACCAAGGTCACACGCCTGCTCACGGGCCGGACGGGCCTCAGGGACCGGCACTTGGCACCCCCTCGCCGAGGACACTCAGAGGTCGTCTGGTCAAATCCTCGTTCTGTCGTGAGCACCTGGGCTCAGAAGGCACGGCCGTGGGGACACTGAGCCAGCCCCAGGCCCCTGAGCAGGCCCATTGCCGCCTGTGGCCGTGGAAGCACCGCCGCACAGCACGGACACCAGCGGCTCCGAGAGCCCCGCAGGGGCCGGAGGTGCAGACCGCCCTCCCTCGGCCGGTGCGTCCGCCAAAGCCTGGTGGTCTCAGGGCCAGCGGGTTCTCACTGGGCTGCAGAAGAGCGCCGGCCCGGAGGCACTCGGCCTGCAGGGAGGTTAGGAGAGCGGGGAGGGGCGTGCTCCCTGAGGAGGTAAAGCGGCAGCTCATCCCGTCGCTGGGCAGCAGAGGAGCCACAGACCCGGGAGGCAGCAGGCGGAGGGCAAAACCAACTCGAAACATCAACCTCTCCGGGGTCTTGCAGCCCCAGATGAGAGCGCCTCCTCCTAGAGCCGCACTTGACGTGGCCGCACTCTCACAGCCGCCAGATGTTCTCACGCCCCGGGAGGGTGCACCACCCTCTGTGCAGGCTGGACACTGAGCCCCAGAGCATACGCGATCGCCTGAAGTCGCACAGCAGGGCCAAGCCAGCTCTTGGGCCTCCTGACTCCAGGCCCAGCGTGGCTCCTTTTTGTTTAATTCTTACCCGAGGACATTTTCCATTGATTTTTAGGGAGAATGGAAGAGAGAGGGAAAGACAGAGAGAAACATCAATGTGAGAGAAGCACATCGATTGGTTGCCTCCTGCACATGCCCCAACCAGGGCCCTGGCTGGGGAGGAGCCCACAACCGGGCATGTGCCCTTAATCAGAATCGAACCTGAGACCCTGCAGTCCGTAGGCTGACGCTCTATCCACTGAGCCACACCGGCTAGGGCATGTGTCTCCTTGCTCACAGGCCTGTCCCGGCCGTGGGGGTGTGAGGCGAGGGGGCTCTGTCTACATTTCTCCCCCCCCCCCCCCTCCCACACACACACACAGCATCTCGCTGAACTCCCCAGCCATCTGCAGGCCCGGCCCAGGCTTTATCTCACCCGCTTTACCGAGAGGACTTGTGGCAGCACTGGGACCGGGTCTGCCTGGCTCCACGCCCAGAGCATGTCCAGGAAGCTCAGCCCTCTCTGCCCCCTGCCCTCGCCTTCCAGTCAAGGTCATCCTGGACAAGTACTACTTCCTCTGTGGGCCGCCCCTCCGCTTCATCCCCAGGCGGCAGGTGTGCGACGGCCAGCAGGACTGCGCCTCGGGGGACGACGAGCGAGTCTGCGTGGAGAACTTTCCCGAGGGGCCCCCAGTGCCAGGTGAGCCCGGGCTGAGGGCTAGAGCAGGGCTCAGAGGGACGTCGGCACGGGCTCCCCTGGCGGCTCCTGCCACCTGTCAGGTGCATCCCTGCTGTGAGGTTCTTGACAGCAGGACCACATCTTGCTCACAAGACCCCGCGCTTAGTATATAGCGAGCACTCAGCGAACATGTGGACCAATGTGAGCCAACGGAAACAGAACCGCCCGAGCTGCCCGCTTCTGCTGTGCCGTGTGGCACGGAGGTGGGGGGTTGGATCAGGAGACCTGGGGGAGTGCTCTCCTCTCTGCTACTTCCAGAGGATGGAACGCTGTGAGGCCGCTCACCCTCCTGTCCGGTAGACGCGTGTTTTGTAGCGTGCTGCGTGACAAGACGGAGCCAGGCCCTTCAAAGGAACATGAGAAACCCATGCTCTTTCTCACACTGGGCTCTGGAGAGGATGTAGCCCAGGAGATGGGTGACTGAGGCTTTTTTGGTTTTTAATGTTTTTATTGATCTCGGAGAGGGAGGGAGAGGGAGAGAGAGAAACATCAAGGATGAGAGAGAATCATGGATCGGCTGCCTCCTGCATGCTCCCTACTGGGGATTGAGCTCGCAACCCGGGCATGTGCCCCGACCAGGTGTCCCGACCAGAAATTGAACCGTGACCTCTTGGTTCATAGTTCAACGCTCAACCCCGGAGCCAGGCCGGCGGGTGGTGATGGGGCTTTTGAGGATCGGGCTGAGTGACGGCCTGTGTATTTGGGTTTTTATAAATCAGAAGTCAAATGCCTATGGGCACCCCCACTCCACTGCCTCAGTCCTCGCTCATGCTCCCCTCGGACCTTGAGGTCCCTCGTTGAGGAGTTCCCCAGGCTGTGCAGGCTGTGTGAGCCGTGGGTAGGGCCATGTAATACATCATCAAAGCTGGTACCTCGAGAGCGGAAGGAGGAGCTATTAATAATGATGCCAGGCAGCAGGCAAAGTGGAGGCAGGCCCAGGACATCTGGTCTCCCCAGCCACGGTCAACACAGGCTCAACCAAGCAAAGCCAGATGCGGAGCGGCCCTGGAGGCTGGAGGGCTGGTGTTCTGTGATGCCCCGGGGCAGGATGGGGTGGGGGATGGAGGGGAGGAGACGGTCTCAGTGCCTCAGGAGGGAAACGGGCGGTGGGCCCTCACAGCTGACCCAGCTTCCCCCCTGCAGTCCGCCTCTCCAGCGACAGGTCCACCCTCCAGCTGCTGGACCCGACCACGGGGACCTGGGCCTCTGCCTGCTTTGACGGCTTCACAGGAGCCCTGGCCCAGACCGCCTGTGGGATGATGGGCTTTCACAGGTACCCAGCCCAGCCTCCGAGGCGGTCACCTCCCGCTGGGACCTCCCTCCTTCGCTGTGGTCCTCCCTCTTCCCCTCTGCTTCCCGCTGTCTTCCTTCTCGCCTCCTTTCCTGAAAGCCCAGGTGTGGGGCAGACAGACGGCTTCCTCCCAGCACGGCACGCACAAGCCTCGGTTCAGGCTCCAGAGCCCTGGCTCGCTCAGGAGCCGCCGGGAAGAGCAGTGCCAGCCTCGTGGGGTGCATGTGAGGTGCCAGGGAGAGTCGCGCCCACACTCCCCAGTTCCTTGGCAGCCTCCCCTGTCCTTCACTCCCAGCCTCACCCCTTATCCTGCAGCCCGTCCCCCCCAAAAGGCAGTCCTCTGGTCAAATTTGGTTTGAACAAACTCGATTTCCCTGGGGTTCCATCAGCAATCCCTGCTCTCTCAGCAAATTCAAAAGCAGTCCCAGGTGATGGGTGGTGAAGAAGGATGTAATTATAAGGGTGACGAGCATTATATATTTATATTCATCTGATCTTGGCAAAAGCCAAAAAAGTATTACTATATCTATTTTAAATTTATTTTTAATCGATTTTAGAGGGGAAGGGAGAGGGAAAGAGAGAGAGAAACATCAATGATGAGAAAGAATCATTGATTGGCTGCCTCCTGCATGCCCCCTACTGGGGATCGAGCCTACAACCTGGGCATGTGTCCTGACCAGGAATCGAACCATGACTTCCTGGTTTATAGGTTTGTGTGTTTTTTTAAATATCACTTGTTTTATTTATTTTTTTTTATACATTTTTATTGATTTCAGAGAGGAAGGGAGAGGGAGAGATAGAAACATCAATGATGAGAAAGAATCATTGATTAGCTGTCTCCTGCATGCCCCCTACTGGGGATCGAGCCTGCAACCTGGACTTGTGCCCTGACTGGAATCAAACCTGGGACCCTTCAGTCCGCAGGCTGACGCTCTATCCACTGAGCCAAACTAGCTAGGGCTGGTTTATAGGTTGATGCTTAACCACTGAGCCATGCTGGCCGGCCTATTATATCTACAGTGGGGCCTTGACTTACGAGTGTCCCGACTAACGAGTTTTTTGAGATACCAGCTGTCTCTCAGCCGATTTTTTGCATTGAGTTGATAGAGTAATTTGAGTTAACGAGCTCTGTCACGGAACGAATTAAACTCGTAAGTCAAGGCCCCACTGTATTTTAGAAATAGGTTTGGAGGAAGTAAGTGACTTCCTGGGTAGTAGCTGGGAGGGAGCGGCTGGGTCTGTGCCCAGGCCCCTAGTTCCTGGGCTCAGGAGTTCTAGCAGGCTGGCTGTTTTCTCTGCCCGACGTGCCATCTGTAACGGAAGGGAGAGTGGGCCTCTCCGAGGGCCCGGCCGCAGGGACGGGAGGTCCAGGCACTCAGCGTGGAGTGGGATGGCCTCTCCCTGACAGGCCCCCAACTTCGGGATTCTAAGAAACGGCACCCAGAGACAGGCAGGAATGACGGGTGCCAGGCCCACCACCCACCAACCGCAGAACTCGCCCTCTGTCCCTCGAGCAGCCTCGAGGTTCCTTTCCAATGGACGCTCCAGGCAGCCTTTCCTGACCCTTCAGACCTGCTTGCCCTGCTCTCGGGGTGCCAGGCTTCCGCTGGTCTCGGCCCCCAGGGGGCGACTCCCAGCGCCTCTGGAGAGGGAAGCTCACCACCGTCATTCCGGTCATTTTGAGGAGGCTGGGAAGCTGGCCCCGCCCTGCGCTTCTCCCTGCTCCCCACAGCCCGGCCCCTGCAGGCTCCGCTGCACCCGCCCAGCAGGCTCGGCTTGGCTGGGGAAACAGGACGTCCTGAAATGCCCTCAGGTAGGAGGCTCCTGGAGTCTCTCCCTCCGCAGCTGCAAACCGCCTGCTCTTGAGCTGGACAAAACCAGAGCCGGTCCCCGTGATCCTCAGGATGCGGCCCGTGACTTACCTTTCCTGGGACTGCCCGTTGCCACCCTTGTCCCTGCTTCTGGGTCTCAGACTCCTCCAGGTTTCTTCTTCCGCCGGGACAGGAGGTCCTGCTCGTCCCCGGACACAAAGCCCTGCCTGGTTAGAAGTGAGAGGGTCTCTAGAGACCATCTGCCCCCCCCCCCCCATCATCTTGCAGAGGAGAAAGGAGGCTTAGGAGACCTGGGAAGGGCGGGCCTGGCCAGGTTGTACTCCAAGCCGGTGCGGTGCCAGGACAGGCACCTCAGTCCCTCCCGAGGGCTGTAACACAAAGCCCTGCCGACTCCAGTCCTCCCGGAGGCGGCATCAGCGCCCAGAGCCAGTTCCGGCTGGGACTGTGAGGATGGGCCGGTCAGCCAGGGCCGGGGGTGGGTCTGATCCCTGCGGGCAGAGCTGGTGCCGGCCTGACTGGGGGGGAAGGATGCCAGGAGTAAAGAAACAACGGAAAGCCCTGGCTGGTGTGGCTCAGTGGATAGAGTGTCGGCCTGCGGACTAAAAGGTCCCGGGTTCAATTCCTGGTCAACGCACATGCCCAGGTTGTGGGCTCGATCCCCAGTAGGGGGCATGCAGGAGGCAGCCGATCAATGATTCTCTCTCATCATTGATATTTCTCTTTCTTCCTCTCCTTTCCTCTCTGAAATCAATAAAAATCTATTTTAAAAAAGAAAAGAAAGAAACGAAGGGAAAGATGGGCGTCATCCGGGAAGCCATCCTGGAGGAGGACGACTGAAGCCCAGGGTCTGGAAGAAGAAGCGTGGGTTTGCAGAGAGAAAGGAGAGGGGTCCAGGAGAGCAGCGCTGCCTGGACTCGTGTGAAGGCCGGCCATGCTCTGTCCTCTGCCCCAGGGGCTGGAATGCACCTCCACCACCCACCGCAGGCGAGGGGCCTTAGGGACCCAGATCCACGTCCTGTCCCCGCCGAGGGGCGCAGCTACCCTGGTCCTGCTGGGCCCTTTGGGATAGGGACAGAGCTGGGAGTTAGGAAGGGTGACCCTAACATTTCTCCTAAGCTCTGGTCAGGCTGTCCCCTGCCCGGGAAGGCGAGGCCACGACAGCATTGCGCCTGGATGGGGTCCTGGGAGGCCAGGGACGCGCTCGGGACCACCTGCGCTGACCAAGGCCCCCTGCCCCCTGCGGCGCCCACGACGTAGTCCCGGCCACCTTCTCTCCTGAGGGGGGCTGTTCCCACCCTCTGGTTCTAAACTCCTGCCCCAACTCACATCTCTCTCTCCCGCCGACATGAGCAGCAAACCCACCTTCCAAGCCGAGAAGATCGGTCCAGACCAAGAGCTGGACGTGGTTGTCATCACAGCGGCCAGCCAGGAGCTCCAGGTGCAGCACCCCCGCGGGTGAGTGAGGGGCCAGCCCCAGCCCGACGCTCACACCGGGTGCATCCGGGCAGCACCAGCCCGCCCCGGGCAGACGCGGCGAGGGGGTGCGCGCCCACGACAGGAAGAGGGCAGATAGCGAGGGCGGGAGAGCCACAGTTCTGAGACTGTCCATGTTGACTCTCGTTTTATTTTATTTTTTTAAATATGTTTTTATTGATTTCGGAGAGGAAGGGATAGGGAGAGAGAGAGAAACATCAATGATGAGAGAGAATTGTTGATCGGCTGCCTCCTGCATGCCCCCTACCCCACGTGAGGATCAAGCCCACACCCAGCATGTGACCTGACCAGGAGTCAAACGTGACCTCCTGGTTCAGAGGTCGACACTCAACCACTGAGC